TATAACGAATATACGCTAAGAATCTATATTCTTTACAAATGGTACATAAATAGTTTTCGCTTTGAGAACCGCACAAATTCTGAAGGAAATACTCGTCAGGCTACGCTTGCTATTTAGTATTGATTAAATGTAAAATCAATGTAAATAACTTCAAATAACCTTAAAAAATAAAAATTAAACTAACAAAATAAATAATTAGCAATAATATTAATTTTTGCTTTAGCATTTAGATTATTTAAATTTGTGCTAGTAATCACAGGCTGAGCCGATGGTTCGCAATGTAAATTAGAAGTTGACGAAATACAAAAAATTTCATTCGCAGACAAATCATATCCTTGGGCAATCATTTTCTTCGCAACCTACAACGTTCGTTTAATTTTCCTTATTATTCTTATTCTTCTTCCTACGAAGACGATATTCTTTACATCCCTCTGCATTAGTTTTGGCATCTCGAAAACTTTTACAGACATTTAAATATATACTGATTCTGGTAAAAAATATCAAATTATAGATGTTTGTCCACACTAAATATAAGGGAGTTATATCAATATACTTCATGCGTCAACAGCTATTTCTCGGTGACAGCACTAGTTCCTGCTCGATCATCTAAGTCAAACAGAGCTTGAGTACAATTAGAACTTGAATGGGTGACCGCTTAAGAGGAAAAATAAGGAAGAAGAAGAGAAGACTTCATGCCGTAAAGTTGAAATCGCATTACCTGAGCATCGTAAATATCGACAACTTCGTGGTGTCGATTTGTTGGTAACTGTGTAAAATTCACTTTCATACTTTTTCTAAGTGCGGTAAAAGACGTACAACTCCTAAAAGAGTTTACTGCACTTATTGAAAAAAAAAAATACAATTTTATAGTTTTTAAAATGAAGAAACACATTAAACATTATTAAATTACCTATTTAATATATTTATTGTTTGATGAATGTTTGAATTTACATTTTTCTTAGATTTTTCTGCGTATGTATTGAAACAACGATGTAGTTCTAGCATTGTATTAGTTTTAGTTTTTTTAGCATTSTATTAGTTTTAGTTTTAGTTAGACTTTTTGTCATGAATCGCACATCCTAGTGCAAAAAAATTAACAACATTTGATTCAGCGTCATCGAATTACCATTGTATCAAGTTTTACCAAAATAAACAAATTCTGGTAGTTTGTCTTTTTTTGAGTGGACTATTGCTTTCCTTTTTTTTTTTCGTTATTGTGAAGTAGGCTTTATAAGTTTCCTTTTATAGTTTTAAGAGTATTTTATAATAATTTTATAGAAAATATAATTAAAAAAGAAAAATGCATTTGTTTTATAGGAAGTTTGAATTTATTTTTTGCTAACGATATTTATTTTATTAAAGAATTAACGTAATTACGCAAGTAATTAAACTAGTGATTAAAAATTTGATAATATACAAAAAAAAAAACTTAAATTTTAGCGTACCGGAACGATATATTATCAAGGTAATGTTTGTCGTATAGATACACGAAACATAAACATATAACAAATAACAAAATTATCAAAATTTTCGTCAAAATTGCGTAAAGAAAGAACAGTTTTTTTTAAATATAACTGAGTCTTAAGTTAAACCAAGGACAGTTAAATCACTCGGAAGGTAAATCAAGGAAGACTAGAAGTCCCTGTGTACGTGTAAGAAGCATATATTACTAAAATGCAGTATGAGCTTAAAAAACTTTTGTTTCGTGTGCTTATACGACAAGTATCATTACAAAAGATTTTCAGACTCGTCCGAACATTAATTGATGTTACTTTTGTTATATATGTAATTTATGTTTTTTCTTATATGTTTATGTTTCGTGTACCTATACGCAAAATATTACCTTAAAAAAAGTATCGTTAGAATATTGCGATTATTATCTAAGCAACGATTAAAGCTATTTTTCACGTTTGAGCTATGGAGTTGTTATAATGTTGTGCTTCAAGACCTAATAAGGATAAAAAATTCATTCGAGGGTTGGCATGAACCATTTACCGGTAAAGTTCGTGTTAATCATGCATCATTGTCCTAGTACATTAGTGTCCTCTAGTTTGAGCAGTTTATTACTGAATGTTTTTTAGTGCAAATGAGTACTAGGTTAACGGTTGCTTCTAAGAAGAAAAGGATTTACGTGGACGTTTAGTTACGACTAAAAAATATTGTAACTGATTATGATCCAGCAAAAAAGTAACAGTTTCTTCATGGTATTGCTGCTGTATTGTCGTTATAAATATTATATCTATTAATTTTACAGTTTTTATTGATAATACCGTGATCAAATTACAGTTTCATTAACTGTTCAATTTATTGTGTTCTTATATATAGTAATATATTTTATAACAACTGCTTATTATCTTCACTAGCTACTGTAAATATATTAATAGATAACTTAAGGTTTCATAAATAGGTATTTAACTTTACTGCAAATTATTTCTATTGCTTTCAATTACTTTTATTGTAAAGGAAAAATTTTGTAATTTTCTAGGCGAAAGGAATTAAATATTTTGAATTTTTCCACTAGACTACGAATTACCATGTCTCTTCCATCCTTATAAGGAGACGTGTACGTATATTATTTGGCTGAAGTAAAAGTATCAAATAACCTAAATGCTAATTACTCTCTTAAAAAACAAAAATTTTGTTTGTTAAATTTAAATTTATTTCACTATTTATTTCTTTTAAGGTCCTTACAAAATTTATCACAGATATACTTTCCAATGTTGTTGTAATCAATGGAATTTAATGTTCCTAATGAAATGATTTCGGCATTGCAGGATGTACACTATAATGCACACTTATATTCAAATGTTAGGTATGTGCCTTGTTCAATGAGTATTATAAAAGCTTTTAGTATTATTACATGTATTATCTATTTTTTTTCACCGAAAAAATTAGTACCGTATATGAGTTCTTAATATACTCATAAATTTCTATTTTTTTAACGGAATATATAAACCTTTATACACATTATTCTTATTTAGTGTTTTCGCAATCGTCAACGCGACATTCTATTGGTTAAATTAAATATAGGAGGTGATGTGCATACATGAAGGAATTCTTTATTTTAAAACCTTAAAAATCACTAAAAAAAAATAATTATGTATTAATTAAAATCCAAGTAAATGTATTTACGTAAAAAGTAACCGTTGATTGTATTTACAAATCCAAAAAAAAAATTGTAAATGTTTATGCGAAACAAATTTTTTGTCTATGCTTATTGTCATAAAATCTTATGATATATTATTTATATTAAACTGTCCGCTTAGTTTCAACAAAATCTTCATGCTAGAACCTGTTTATTTTTAAATGGGAAAACCTCTTTTTTCAGAACAAGTTTCTTTTATGTCTATATTAAATGCAAAAAGATGATCAGAAWTTAAATATAAGGAATACATATGATATTAAAAGTAAGTAAATATAATATGCTAATGTCTAATATATAATAAATAATTAAAATCTTATGCAGTATACACATATAAATGAAATAACAGTACATAAATCAATATCGTAATATTGTAAAATTTTGATTTGTAGTCAGGGGTTTTACTTCTGTTGTAGCAACAACAAAAATACGGGTGTTTGTACTCATGTTCGCACGTCAGAAGTTACACTTCTTTAGCTTAACAAAACAAAATAAAACCTTAATAACCTYAAAGATAACTTCCAAAAAAACCTAAATTATCCCGCGCAATATACTGTACATTTGTAAAAAAAGATGGTAAAATAATAAATATATCATATTTTAATAGATTATATATCTATACCTATATATACTGTCAACGGGAATTCAATCGTAACGCTTAAAACAAAGTTTTAACATTTTTTTTTTCAATTTTTAATAGAAGTCCTAATAAATCATTGATCAAAATCGTTTTCCGCATTGCAAAAAGGAAATGTTAGTGTTTAACATCTTACATCACCTTTTACCGACGTTCAATAGTAATGTTAATATTATAAACGGGACCAACATGTTGCGCTATTTACCAGGAAAAATATGCCAAAGTTTTCAGTCGTCCTTTGCGTAATAGACACAATATACAACATTTTAATTGTATATATGTATTTCTTTTATTTGTTTCTTGTAATTATGAACAGATTGTATCATGTAGAAAATCATGACAAAAACTTGTTTCCTCTGTATGGTAGGCTTTGAATTTTTCTGCTCTCTTGTAGCTAAACTCCCAAATTTTAAACCCTCCTTTACGCAGTAAGCATAGTAAATTACTATTATACATTATATTTTTAATAAAATATATAAGTACACAAATTTATATAAAAAGTTGATTAAAACATATTTAATTCTCTAACATCATTTATTTGTCACATATGATTGCTAATTCACTATTGAAACTTGAAGTTCTATCGAATAAAGTAGCTGTTATAATTATTTAACTCTAWTTTAAATGTTTAGATACTTGCTATAAATTTTAAATATGAGATATCTTTTCGTACGAATACAAAGTTAACACATCTTATTGCAAACAAATGCTTAAGGTATAAGGAAAACTACATCATGCTATGAACAAAATATTAACTTATTTTATCTATAAAAAAATGAAGTTATTAATTAATCTCTTTACAGCACTGTCTCACACAGATTGTTAGAAAGATGATACTAAAAAAAAAAGTGAATATAATAGATAGTAAAAGATCCAAAGAATCAAGCCACAAAAGAACCATTTCATCGAATAATGAGCTATTTTAAGTCTAGAAAAAATTAAAAGAATGATAAAATATTAAATAGGTAAAAAAATAATAATTGTGATAAAATAGAGATAATCAAAAAGTTACCTTCTATAAAATGGTCTTGATTCTTCAACCGTCTCCATCGGGTCTTTTAGTAAAAAAACTCGAATTCCTTTTAAGTAAATATCAGAAAAACCCGCCCAATCAATATCAGAAACATTAAAAAAGAAGTTATGTTTATCGACTACAGATAGCTTGTCCCATAATTTTACAACGTTATCGTTTGTAAATTCCCATTCGTTGTTTGTAACGAAATTTATTACATATTTAAACTTTTCTATATTTCTGTAGATTTTAAGCAATCTGAAAAATATACAATAAATTTAATAACGTTTTTTTTTATAGACGAATATTTAATCGTTTGGTAATCTAAAATATTTTTAGGTGTTACCTTGTCTTTCTTCCTGTGACATAAGCTAGCGAGTCTAGTATAATTGCTGGTATCCAGTGCAAAAAAATTGTCAGAAAAATATGAAAAGAATAGTTGCGGGTAAACCAAAAGGAGTAGTACCATAAAACTTTTTTCGACGGAACATTAAACCCTTTATTTTTTGTATAATTTTCTATAAGACCTCAAGTAATTGAATTTTGAACTGAGGAAACAACCTTATAAATTAAAATCTTTTCGTTTACAGGCAGATATTTGTTGTTTCTGTTTGAGAGATTTATAATCTGTGGTATAGACCTACGAAAAAAGTTCCATCTCATTCACTGTAAATGTTATTTTAAAAGTGGAACTAACGTACATTTGAGAGATTTTTCAAAAAAGAAGAAAAAACTAACTGTTTTTGTGCAACGTCCCATGCTACAGCAAAAATGTTGTTGACAACATAGTCGGCAGGAATGATGTCGCAAATAAAGTTTTCATTACAATATAGCGTATGTAAAACACCAGTCGCACTACCTACAGCAACACCTGTTATTCCATATAGATTGTTTATCCAACCRGCAATTGGTTCCTTTTCCGTTCAGACAACAATAGATGGCCGAACGATGCAAGTAGGAATTTCATTTGAATATTGCCGTACAGTATCTTCACAGATTGCCTTYGAATATGCGTAAGTGTTGGGCGAGTTACCAAGAAGCTTGTTAAATAAACGAATTTGCTCATCGACTTAGCTATAAAAAAAAAGGTAATTGAATTCTAGTTTTATTACTTTGGGGTAACTAAATTTAATTGATCGTCGTTCAAAATCTCTGTCAATTTAATTATGTCTTCTGTCTTTATAGGTGGCTTATAGAATTTTTCTTCAATTTTATTATATACGCARTGCGAATATGCCGTTGATACATAGACAAAGGCCTAAAAAAAACATTTAATATAAAATAGGAACAGTTTTATTTTAAGTAAATCCAATGTTTAAATAATTAATTTGGAAAACAGTACCTTCAAGCTTTTCATCTCTTGTGCAAGCAAGAGAAGATCCCTTGCTCCTCTAACATTCGTATACTGTTATAAATTTTGGTATAACTGGTAGTATAAGTGATATTTTTTATTGACATAATAATTAGTACAAATAACGTAACTTGACTTACAACATCATTAAAAAACTCTTTGAATCGAGTCTGCGGATCCTGCTGTTTTTTTGCTCTTATCAGCAAATAAATCGTTGTAATTTCTGGACAACATCTACATGTAGCAATGCATTAATAAAAACAGTTTTTTTTCGGAAAATATATACTAACATAAGAGTAGTTTTAGTAAATAAATAATACAGAAAAAATAGTATAATAAGCGACGATGTTTATTAGTGACTCGGTAGATTATTGACCAATGATAGCTAACAACCTGTGACCCACGGGTCAACCATTAATTCAAAGAGACCTCTGCATTCAATTACGCGTCGATTTTGATAATCTTTATTTTTTAGAATTAGGAATAAGAATTTTTTATTGTTTCATACTTAATTACTGACCTACAAATATGAAGCTTCAAGCAATGTTAAACGAATTTGACGTACGCATATGAAAAGTTCGCAATTGCTGCTATAGACATTTAAATTTCTATTACATTTTACTTGTATAAATTATATCTTTTAATGAATATCTATAGGTATTCTATTTTATTCTTTACCTTTTTCTTGCAATTTGTAAAAAAAGTTTATTATATTAAAATATTAACATTTCTTCGA